TCACATACAAAGGAAAACCCATCAGACTATCACGAGGCTTCCCAACAGAAACCTTACACAGGCCAGAAGAGAGTGACATGATATATATGAAACAGAAGGGACTCAAAACAAGAATATTCTACCCAGCAAGATTATCATTTAAATTTGAAGGGGGGATTACACAATTTCCAGATAAGCTAAAGCTAAGAGAATTTACCTTCCACAAAACATCTCTACAGTGTATTCTGGAGAGACTGCTATAGATGGAAGTGCTCCAAAGGCTAAATAGCTGTCACCAGAGAAAATAAAACCACAGTAAAGGAAGTAGACCAATTAATTACTAAAAAAAATGGACAATTGTATCAACTACCCCAAAAGTTAGTCAAGGGATACACAAAGAGTACAGAATATGACACCTAATATATAAAGAACGGAGGAGGAAGAAAAAGAACAGAGGAAAAAAAAAACCTTTAGATTGTGTTTCAAATAGAGTATTAAGAGAGTTAAGTTAGACTATCAGATAGTAAAGAAGCTACCCTCGAACCTTTCATAACCATGAATCTAATGCCTATAATGGCACTAAGTACATATCTATTGATAATCACCCTAAATGTAACCGGACTGAATGCACCAATCAAACGAATACAGAGTCACTGAATGTATTAAAAAAACAAGACCCGACTATATACTGCCTAAAAGAGATTCACTACAAATCCAAAGACACACACAGATTAAAAGTGAAGGGATGGAAAAAGATATTTCATGAAGCTGAAAGGAAGAAAAAAACAGGAGTTGCAGTACTTGTATCAGACAAAATAGATTTCAAAACAAAGAAAGTCACAAGAGACAAAGAAGGACATTACATAATGATAAAGGGGTCAATCCAACAAGAGGACATAAGCATTATAAATATCTATGCACCCAACATAGGAGTCCCTACACATGTGAAATGAATACTAACAGAATTAAAGGGGGAAAAATAATGCAATGCATTCATTTTAGGAGACTTCAACACACCACTCACTCCAAAGGACAGATTAACCAGACAGAAAATAAGTAAGGAAACAGAGGCACTGAGCAACACAGTAGAAAAGATGGACCCAACACACATCTACAGAACATTCCACCCAAATTCAGCAGGATACACATCCTTCTCACGTGCACATGAAACATTTTCAAGAACACATCATATACTAGCAACAAAAAGAGCCTCGGTAAATTCAAAAACATTGAAATTGTACCAACCAGCTTCACAGACAACAAAGGTATGAAACTACAAATAAATTATGCAAAGAAAACAAACAAGCCCACAAACACATGTAGGCTTATAACATGCTCCTAAATAATCAATGGATCAATGATCAAATAAAAACAGAGATTAAGCAATATGTGGAGATAAATGACAATAACTCAACACAGGAAAATCTGTGGGATGCAACGATGGCCATCCTAAGAAGGAAGTATATTGCAATACAGGACACCTCAGGAAAGAAGAACAATCCACTATGATCAGTCTAAACTCACAATAAATGAACCTAAAAAAAGAAGAACAAGTGAGGCCCAAAGTCAGTAGGAGGAGGGACATTAGAGCATAAATAAATAAATTTGAGAGAACAAAACAACAGAAAGAATGAATGAAACCAGGAGCTGGTTATTCAAGAAAATAAACAAAATAGATAAAACCCCTAGTCAGACTTACCAAGAAAAAAGAGTCTTTACACATAAACAGAAACAGAAATGAGAAAAGAAAAATCACTACAGACAACACAGAAATACAAAGAATCATGAGAGAATACTATGAAAACTTATATGCTAACAGAATGGATACCCTAGAAGAAATGAACAACTCTCTAGAAAAATACAACCTTCCAAGGCTGACACAGGAAAAAACAGAAAATCTGAATAGACCAATTACCAGCAAGGAAATTGAACTGGTAATCAAAAAACTACCTAAGAACAAAACTCCTGGAACAGATGGTTTCACTGCTCAATTTTATCAAATACTTAGTGAAGACCTAATGCCCATCCTCCTTACAGTTTTCCAAAGAGAAGAGGAGGGAATACTCCCAAACTCATTCTATGAGGCCAGTAACACTCTAATACCAAAACCAGGCAAAGACACCACAAAAAAAGAAAATTATAGACCAATATCCTTGATGAACACAGATGCAAAAATCCCCAACAAAATACTAGTAAACCGAATTCAAAAATACATTAAAAAGATCATCTACCATGATCAAGTAGGATTTACTCCAGGGATGCAAAGGATGGTACAACATTCAAAAGTCCATCATCATACACCACATCAACAAAAAGGAAAAAAAATACGTGATCATCTCCATAGATGCTGAAAGAGCATTTGTCAAAATTCAACATCCAACCATGATAAAAACACTCTCAACAAAATGGGTATAGATGGCAAGCACCTCAACATAATAAAGGCCGTATATTACAAACCCACAGCCAACAGCATACTTAACAGCAAAAAGCGGAAAGCTTTTCCTTTAAGATAGGAACAAGACAAGGATGCTCTCTCTTCCAACTTTTATTCAACATAGTACTGGAGGTCCTCGCCACGGCAATCAGACAACATAAAGAAACAAAAGGCATCCAGATTGGTAAAGATGTGAAGTTGTCCTTGCCTGCAGATGACATGATATTGTATATAAAAAACCCTAAAGAATCCATCCCAAAACTACTAGAATATCTGAATTCAGCAAAGCTGCCGGTACAAAATTAATATGCAGAAATCTGTTGCTTTCCCATATACTAACGATGAACCATCAGAAAGAGAAATCAGGAAAACAATTCCATTCACAATTGCATCAAAAAGAATAAAATACCTAGGAATAAACCTAACCAAGGAGGTGAAAGACCTATACCCTGAAAACTACAAGACACTCATGAGAGAAATTAAAGAAGACACCAATAAATGGAAATACATCCAATGCTCATGGATAGGAAGAATTAATATTGTCAAAATGGCCATCCTGCCTAAAGCCATCTACAGATTCAATGCAATCCCTATAAAAATACCAATAGCATTCTTCAACGAACTAGAGCAAATACTTCTAAAATTCATATGGAATTACAAAAAACCCCAAATAGCCAAAGCAATCCTAGAAGGAAGAATAAAGCTAGGGGTATACACTCCCTGACCTCAAGCTCTACTAGAAAGCCAGTGTTCAAGTCAATCTGGTACTGGCACAAGAACAGACCCATAGGTCAATGGAACAGACAGCCCAGATAGAAACCCAAGCATATATGGCCAATTAATATACACTAAAGGAGCCATGGATTATCCAATAGGGCAATGACAGTCTCTTCAACTGGTGTTGGCAAAACTGGACAGCTACCTGCAGGAGATTGAAACTGGATTATTGTCTAACCCCATACACAAAAGTAAACTCAAAATGGATCTAAGACCTGAACATAAGTCATGAAACCATAAACCTCTCAGGAGAAAACATAGGCAAACATCTCCTGAATATAAACATGAGCAACTTTTTTCTGAATGCATCTCCTCAGGCAAGGGAACAAAAGCAAAAATGAACAAATGGGACTACATCAAGCTAAAAAAGCTTCTGAATAGCAAAGGACACCATCAGCAGAATAAAAGGGCATTTACAGTATGGGAGAATATATTTGTAAGTGACTTATCCAACAAGGGGTTAACATCCAAAATATATAAAGAACTCACACCTCAACACCCAAAGAGCAAATAATCATATTAAAAAATGGGTAGAGGATATGAACAGACAATTCTCCAAAGTAGAAATTCAGATGGCCAATAGGCACATGAAAAGATACTCTGCACAGCTAATTATCAGGGAAATGCAAATTAAAACCACAATGAGATATCACCTCACACAAGTAAGGATGGCCAACACAGAAAAGACTAGGAATAACAAATGCTGGCGAGGATGCAGAGAAAGGGGAACCCTCCTACACTGCTAGTGGGAATATAAATTAGTTCAACCATAGTATAAAGTAATATGGACGTTCCTCAAAAACCTAAAAATAGAAATACCATTTGACCCAGAAATTCCACTCCTAGGAATTTACCCAAAGAAAATAAGATCACAAATTAAAAAGACATATGCTCCCCTATGTTTATCACAACAGTATTTACAACAGCCAAGACATGGAAGCAATCTAAATGTCCATCAGTAGATGAACGGATAAAGAAGAGGTGGTACATACATACAACAGATTATTATTCAGGCATAAAAATACAAATCCTCCTATTTGCAACAACATGGATGGAGCTGGAGGGTATTATGCTCAGTGAAATAAGCCAGGTGGAGAAGGACAAGTATCAATGATTTCACTCATTTATGGAGTATAAGAACAAAGCAAAATGGAGCAAAACAGCAGCAGACTCAAAAACTCCAAGAAGGGACTAGCTGTTACCAAAGTGCACAGAGAAGACAAGTAGTGACTCTGTGGCATCTTACTACACTGATGGACAGTGACTGCAGTGGGGTGTGGGGGGACTTGATAATATGGGTGAATGTAGTAACTACAATGTTGATCATGTGAAACCTTCATAAGAATGTATATCAATGATACCTTAATAAAAAATAAATAAGTGTATTTATTATGTATATGCACATATGTGTTATGTGTGCACACATAGAGGCAGAGATACAGCCATCACAGAAAATGATAATATTTGGTGAATGTAGGCAAAGGATATATGAGTATTTTTGTTCTCAATGTTCTTTCAACTTTTCCATAGGTTTGAAAATTTTCAGAATTAAAACCAGGAAGAAATATGACTTAAAATTTACTGAATCCTTTCAAATGTGCAATAGACAATTATATCAGTAAATTTAACTAAGAACTACCTGACTTTGATTCTGTAAAAGTAGAGAGTTCAGGCAGTTGCAAATATGCTTCAAATTATTGAAGAATGGAAAAGAAATCAAATTAATTAAAGGTTGTATTTCTGATTTATTTTCACTTGTGCTATTGTATGAAAAATAACTCTACTCAAATTATGAAGTATAAACACTCACTATCTTCTCCTGGACAGGGCATTCCAGGACGTTCTGGTACACAAGGGAATACTGAAAAAATAAATAAAATTAAATTAATATAGCATATTTAAGACATACAAATTAATTAGAATTTTAAATTCAAACATCAAAAACTGACCCAAATTTCAATCTGACCCTCTCTTGACATAAGGTAATTGGTATGTGGTCAGAATCATTTTTTGAAGAGATCCATTCTACGAAGGGTATATGAAAAAACTTTTTATGAAAATAAACATCCATAAGCAATGCATTAGAAGCTTAAATTACTCATTCTAGTCCTTGATATGTCACTATATTTTTGGCCTTAGAAAAATCATTAACTACTATTTTTTAAGTCCTTGTTGTGGTGACAAGTTTACTTCAATGAAGAATTACAATTAAATTACAAAAATGTACACACAAACCACTTTTATGACTATAAATCATTACAGTTCTTAAAAGATGTATACTAAATTTACGAAGAAATTACACCAGAAACAGTACCAAATCTAAAAGTATAAGTTTTATCTTAGGAACTATCAATTTATAAACATGCTAATTCAGACCATTTTTATAAAGAGATAGAATATAAAGAAACAGTAATTTTATGGACATCTAATCAACTATCTATAGTCTGATGTACAAAGGACATGGTTTAATAAAGAGCACAGAGTATGGAAAGTACAATTCCTAATATATTTTTAAAAGTTGAAATATAAGGCAACCTTGGAAAACATATCTGTGATATAGTATAGAAGGCAAAAAAACTTAAAACAAACTAATAGTACTGATCAATCATTTCTTTAAACATTCATTGTAGATTTATTCTAGAAAAAGATGAGCAAAAAAGTGGATTACTTCTAAAGTTCTACCAGGATCTCAACAAATTAAGTTATGGATCCTTTGGGAGTCACTATGTCAAATTCTTTGAAAAAATCTACTGTTTTTTAAAATAAACAAGGTAAAGAAAATAAAAAGGAATAACAACAAGGTATTGAAAGGGCTCATTATACTTAGGGTAAGATTTCTCAAAGCTCTCAAAAATGTTACATGAAATATTGCAAGTGGGTTCTACATGATGCAGTTTTAGGGGGTATCATGGTAGAATGAAAAGAACATCCATTTGGAATCAGAATACCTAGATTCACAAGCCAGGTGTACAATGTACCAGTCAATGATGACTGAGTTTAGGTCTCTTTACCACTACCCACTACTCTTAGGCTTGCTGATTTTTAATGCATGTCTATCATAACTATGTAAGTGGTTTCACTGTTAACCCTTAAAGAAAAGAAAGGACATTTAAGATACCTTACCTTTGGAGATCATTATCTGCATACAATACAAAACTGCAGAGAGATGATTTATGCTCTACTAGACTCTCAATTCTTAAATTCTATCCTAAACTTTGCTGTGAAACAGAGAGATAATCAGTTAAATACCCTAGAAGGCATACCCATAACAAAATCCTCAAGACTGTAAGAAGCTGATTGATTTGATCTTCTCTAGCATTTAAGAAACTACTGTGTAAGGACAGTTACATAGTGATGAGGGATAGAGCTTAAGAAAATGACATCAGGATTATGTTTTAAAATGGTCAAGAATATAGGGCTTTTTGAAAAAAAAATGTATAGTTCTAAAAGAGTAAGAAATGACTACTCTTTACCATGAATTAAGAGTTCAGAATCCTTGTTTAGTTCATAAAGCCTAAAGGCTTCTTCTAACTCCAACTGAGATGACACTGTACATGGGTCTCCTAAAAAATACAAAAGATAAGGTAAAGCTCACTTTTCAAATCCTGTAAATGTGATAATTAGTAAACAATTTCCATTATTTAAAATCTTAAAAGAAAACAAGTACATATATATACAGAGAAATATTTGTCAAGGACAAATTTTCAGATACTTAGACAAGTCTCTTCTCTTTTGGGAACATAACTCCCATTTTTTATTTCCATAAAACATTACATAAGGTTCATAGATACCAAATATTATACATAAAACTGTAATTCTCAGTAATATATATATATTCAAAATATAGCAAACATTTCTATCCTGACCACATTTTGGACTGTCACTGCAATATGATTAATGGCCAGGGGCAAGCTTTCTGTTACCTATTTCTTTAAGAGAGGAAGTAAAAGTGGTTCCACTGCCACAATGTTTGGTTACAGGTCACCATGTAATTATTTCATCAAATTTTTCTTTCATCTAAAAGCTTGCTCAAGAGGTACATTGCTTCATTCTAGCTGACCTCTAGAAAGGAGCCCAGCTCCTGAAGTACTCTGGACTGAAAAGCCATCCTACTTGAGATGCTTTTAAATGTAAATGCACAGTTTTAGTAAACTTACACACACAGAGAAGAAGAAATACCTCCGTTAGTCAACCAGCCAAAGAATCGAGTCATCCCTAGCAAGCAACGAGATGGCACATCTCCCTGTACAATGGCATTCCTTTGCTCATTCCTGTGGTTACACCAAACGTTACCACATACAAGATGCCAACCCTATCCAAACCTCAGTCACTCTCAGCAGAGAACTTGGTCTACTGCTTGAGAGAAAAATGAAGCCAACCCCTTCCTGCTGCTTCAAAGTAGTGAGTGTCTCTGTGTTTTCCTCCAACTTAGCCATTGAATCCCTTCTTCCTTTCGTCTTCTCTGGGCCCTTATTCCATTTACCCCACCTCAGTTCCACTTTCATTTTTACTTTTCTTCCACTAGTTCTTCTCAGACACAAGCATGTTGAATCTCTCTCTCAAAAGTCTCTCACTCAGGTTTCCATTCCACTCACTCAAAAGCCACATGTCTCAAGAGTAAACTAGACTGAAATTGAAGGTGGATGGGCAAGAAGAAGGGGAAGAAAAAAAGGGTCTTGGATTTTTTACTTTATACTTTTCTTTTGCATTTTTAAATCATAGGTTTATCGTCTTTTAGATTTATTAGAAACAACTTGTCTTAGCATCAAGAGTGATCCCAACCTCTCACCATGTTCCCATTTCCGTGCATTTCTCAAAATTCTGCTATCAGTTTTAGTCCAAACAATCCTCTTCAACTGTATCTAAGGTCATAAAAACAGCTGAAGAAATCAATGGTATTTCTGTCTTCATTCTAGTTAACCTCTTTATAACCTAACAAAGTTGCCCACTGACTATTTACAGAAATCTCCTCATTTATCAACTATTAACTTACTTTAGAAAATTTCAAGTATATTACAAAATCCTGTTTTACTGCACAGCCCCTCACTTATCCCTTCTCCACTGTACCATCTTGAATAAATCCCTACACCCCTAGATAAAAAAAAAAATCCTTAGTATACTCACAATGCCATTATAAACCTATAAAATTGAACAAAAATCCACTCTAATGTACCCAAACATAAGCATTTGCAAAAGAATGAAGTTAAACCTTTACCTTAACACTACAAATAAAAATTCCTCCAAAAGGATCAAAGTCTTAAACATAACAGGTAAAACTACAAAATTCTTGGAAGAAAGTAGAAAGAGAAAGCTTCATGACACTGGGTTTGGCAATGATTTCTTGGATATGACACCAAAAGCAGAGGCAAGAAAAAAAATTGGTCTACATAAAAATTTAAAATGTTTGTGTATCAAAGGTCACTATCAACACAGTGAAAAGAAAATCCATGGGAGAAAATATTTGGAAATCACATATCTGATAAAGGATTAATATCCACAAAATGTGGTATATACAGGGACTCCAAGATTATAAAGATGGCGGCATGAGAGGTGAGACAGAGAACTCCTCCCAAAACCACATACAATAGGAAAATATAGTTAATACAACTAATCCTAAAAGAGCAAAAGGAAAGAAGGCTGTGCCAGACTGCATACACCTGGAGAACAGAGCAGACTTCACAAAACAGGGTAACATACCAAAGTCTTGATCTGGGAGGACCCAAGCTCTTCCCCCACCCTGATCACCAGCAAGAGGAAGAGAAACGGAGTGGGGAGGGGGTGGAAGCCTAGGACTGCTTGAACACCCAGCCCTGGAGATCTGCTTTGGGAGCACAAACCTACACTGCATGGTGATCTGGAGATTAGCGGGGCTGGAAAGCTAAGACAGGTGGAATACTTGGAGAGACTGAGATTCCAGCCATTTCTGGAGGACAGGGATCGACATCCAGCTGCTGTGGGACAAAGGAAAGGCAGGCAGTCTGACAGGCTTCCTAGCAGTGAGAGGGCTGCTGAAGGGGTGGGGACTGTACAGAGCTTGCTGCAATGGAGAAGACATAGGTGGACAAAGTTGTCAGGGAGCACTCTGCCCAGCAGGTTGGGAACTTCCAGGAGCTTCAGGCACTCAATCCCCCTGGCTGGCTACTCAGCTCTGAGGCCCCCCCACTGTGATAAGAAGCCTGCTGTGCCTTCCTCCTGGCCTAAAAGCACTGGCTCAAAAATTGGCAGTTGCTGCTCTGGCATCAGGCCAGCCAGTGGGAGGCACCGTCTATGGTAGCTACAAACGAGAAGCACAGAGGCTTACACCTGTGTGCTCAGTCCACTGGTTCTGACAGTGGAGATGGGCACTGCAGCCGGGAATCAGGTAACAGCTCTTTCCCCCCACCCCAGGCACCAGCACTGCTTCCCTGTGACCCCCAACATCACTCCAGGGGCTGAGCAGCTCCAGAGACTAGAGCTTCTAGTCACTAGAGGAGGCCACACACAAATATGAAATGTCAAAGGAACCTGGGTCAACCCAAAATCTCACAAACACGGGCCCAACTGAAACTGAACTCACCAATCTTCCTGAAAGAGAGTTAAAAAAAAAATCATAAACATTCTCATGGAGGTATACAAAAATATTCAAGAATCCAGGGATGAATTTAGGATAGAGATTGAAATCCCCTATCAGAAATGAAACATACAATGGAGGGATTGAAAAGAAGATTGGATGTAGTAGAAGTGACAGTAAATGGAATAGAAATTAGAGAAGAGGAATACAAAGAAGCTGAGGCACAGAGAGAAAAAGGGATCTCTAGGAATAAAAGAATATCGAGAGAACTGTGTGACCAATCCAACGGAACAATATTTGCATTATAGAGCTATTAGAAGAAGAAGAAGAGAGAGAGAGAAAGGATAGAAAGGGCCTTTGAGGAGGTAATTGCTGAAACTTAACCAGTCTGGGGAAGGAGATATTCTCTCAGGCCATGGAGGTGCAAAGATCTCCCAACACAAGGGACCCAAGGAAGACAACAGCAAGACATATAATAATTTAAATGGCAAAGATCAAGGATAAGGACAGACTTTTAAAACCAGCTAGAGGGAGAAAAAACATCACATACAGAGGAAAACCCATCAGGCTATCATTAGACTTCTCAACAGAAACATTACAAGCCAGAAGGGAGTGGCATGATATATTTAATGCAATGAAACAGAAGGGACTCGAGCCAAGAATACTCTATCTGGCAAGATTATCATTTAAATTTGAAGGAGGGAGTAAACAATTTTCAGATAAGCAAAAGCTGAGAGAATTTACATCCCACAAACCACCTCTACAGTGTATTTTGGAGGGACTTCCATAAAGTGTTCCTAAGGCTAAATAGCTATCACCAGGGGAAATAAAAACACAGTAAAGAAAGAAGAATAATTAATTACTAAGCACATGCAAAATCGAATAAACTACTCCCAAAAGACAATCAAGGGATAAACAAAGAGTACAGAATATGATACCTAATATATAAAGAATGGAGGAGGAAGAAAAAGGAGGGGAAAAAAAAGAATGATTAGGTTGTGTTTGTAATAGCATACTAAGTCGTTAAATTAGACTGTAAGATAGTAAGGGAGTTAGTTACCTTAGACCTCTGGTAACCACGAATCTAAAATCTGCAATGGCAATAAGTACATACCTATTGATAATCACCCTAAGTGTAAATGTACTGAATGCACCAATCAAAAGATACAGAGTCACTGAATATATTAAAAAAACAAGAGCCGTTTATACACTGCTTACAAGAGACTCACTTCAAACCCAAGACATACACAGACTGAAAGTAAAGGGATGGAAAAAATATTTCATGAAACTAATAGGGAGAAAAAAGCAGGAGTTGCAGTACTTGTATCAGACAAAATAGACTTCAAAACAAAGAAAGTAACAAGGGACAAAGAAGGATATTACATAATGATAAAGAGGTCAGTCCAACAAGAGGACATAACCATTATAAACATCTACTCACCCAAAATAGGAGTACCTACATATGCGAAATAAATACTAACAGAATTAAAAGTGGAAAGACAATGCAATGCATTCATTTTAGGAGACTTCAACACACCACTCACTCCAAAGGACAGATCAACCAGACAGAAAATTAGTAAGGAGACAGAGGCATTTAGCAACACATTAGAAAAGATGGACCTAACAGGTATCTACAGAACACTCCATCCAAAAGGAGCAGGATGCACATTCTTCTCAAGAGCACATGGAACATTTCAAGAATAGATCATACACTAGGCCACAAAAAGAGCCTCAGTAAATGCAAAAACATTGAAATTGTACCAACCACCTTCTCAGACAACAAAGGTATGAAACTAGAAATAAATTACACAAACAAAACAAAAAAGCCCAAAAACACACGGAGGTCTTAATAACATGCTCCTAAATCAATGACCAAATAAAAACAGAGATCAGGCAATATATGGAGATAAATGACAACAATTATTCAACACCACAAAATCTGTGGAACATAGCAAAGGTCATGCTAAGAGGGAAGTATATTGCAATACAAGGCCTACCTCAGGAAAGAATAAA